GGGGGGGGGTTGGATGTACGTAGCTTGACCCCTAATTTCAGGTACATAATAACTTTTGGATCCCTGAGGTCTATACGGGACATGCTTCGTCTTGGTATCACAATGGCTGCTTCCTGAAGAGAGGGAGGGGAATGAAACAAAAACACATGTAATATTTTGTTAAAATTAATGTTAATGCCCATTTATGCTTTATGCTGATGGATAAAGCCACTTTTGCCAATACTCATTATCTTTTGTAAGTTTTATATTCTTATTCTGATATCCTTATTAAATCAAATAACGCATTCATTTCAAAAGGGCATGTTTACTGGTTGGTAAACTGTAAACCCATGGTTTTCGTTGCTGACGATGCTAATAAATGGTTTCAATTTCAGGCACTTACAGAGGCAATGCCGCTCTCAGACATAGATCAAAATGCAGTATGTCATCTACATTACATGTTAATTATAAGTTTCTTACTTCTGAGTTAGTCACTTATGGTATGATGATTTACAGGTTAATTTTGTCCCAAATTTTGACAAATCACAAAAAGAGCCATCTCTACCCCCTGCTAGAATCCCGAATCTGGTCCTGAATGATGCCTCTGGAATTGATGTAATCGGTCTGACCTAGAAAATAGTTAAATGATTTTATCTACTATGCATTTCTATACCAGTTTACATATCCCTTTGTCATGCGATTGTTTCCATTCTTTATGCTTTCAGGTGTGCATCGCCACAAATAACCCTCCACACAATCTTGGAGAGCTTGTTGATGCAATGTCTTCCTATATTTATAACCAGAAGTAACGGTAAAAATGAATTCAGTTATTTCACATTGTTATGGTGAGATTACTTCTCATTGCCATTTTGAGATCTGTTATTTCACATTTCCATTTTGAAAGTATTTTAATTCTGATGGAGGTTCCTTTTTTGTTTTTCTATTTGACTATTTCCATGCAATCTAGCAGTCTCCTTTTTTCCCCAAAAAAGAAAAGCAGATGTGTTTTTGCATTATTAATCCAGATCCAACTGGCTAGTATTGTAACAGTGGTCTTGATTTTTAACCCAAAACATGCAATAACTCAACCTGAAGAAGGCCATTTCTCCTACATTGACACATATGTGTTACCTCCTCATCATGCTTTCTCTTTATTTCATTCTTTTTTGTGATAGTCTTTTGTATTAATTATTTTTGTCATTATGGTCTTTGATAATGCTGCACTTCCTAGGCCAAGCTTGATCTCTATTGCTTTCTGCCATTGCCTTCGTGTTAAACCTTAATATCTCTAGAAATGCCATGGCAAAATGGATAAATTTTATGGTGTTTTAAACTGGACTGATTCCTCAAATTGTGCAGACCTAGAAATACCTAGTGATCGGGTCTGCTGAGCCCTTAACACAGGTATGGGGAGGTGGTTTTGAACCGATTGAACTAGTTGAAAATTGGGTTAAACCGGGTGACTTTTAGTTTGGATGGTTGGATCTGTTTGGGTTTTCAATGCTTAGACGTAAACAGCAATGTCATCTAATTTTATGATGTTATTGGCCTTATTGCTCAATCTGGTTTTCCATCTCACTAAGTAATTGAATCCAATGTTTACTTAATTAAATTTTTTTGGTTCTCATTTCAAATTATAATCATGTATACATTTTTTCCCTCAAAACTCGAGGGTCATGTGTCTGTTTATGAATTAAAATACTATCATTAGAAAATATTGTTTCAGCCATAATTGATCTGATTAAGCTGATCAGTGAGCCATTGAAGCCTTGAAGATATAAAAAAAGAGTTGAGAATGGGAAACAATGTATACAATCTTTTTAACCATAAATGTAATACTTTGGTTAAATATTAGATGCAAACATTTACTATAAATATGAAAAGTGTCTGTACATTTTAGAACATTGATCAACAAATAATGGGCTCATTTTGTGTGTACAAACTTTACATACTAGTATTCAAAATTGGGTTGAGCCGGGGTAGAGACATGGGTAGGGAGGCCCGCCAAAGGACAATAGTAGTGGTACATGCCATATAAGTTTGCCCAATTTGATGCAGTTCTAACTGCTTTTCCCTTCATCTGTTTTCTTATGGTAAGATGAAATGATGGAGCCACACATCTTGGGATTGGGACAAAGTATTTGGGGCATGTAGCATTGTAAGCTTTTCTTGGCAACAACATGACAAAACGGGTAGATTCATATTTTGTAGAGTTTATGTGTTTAGCAAGTCTCCAAAGGGATGAGATGCTCCAACATTAAAGCAAAAGTTAAGCATGTAGACTTCTATTTTAAACGTGGTGAGACTTGCTGCATGCATTATAAGAGAGCTAGTTGAAGAATTATGTATTTCCAATTATCACTTTACAATATATTCACCTCCCCTTATATACATGTAGGAGGGTTAAGAATAAGGAAGCTGACATTAATGAGAGATCCTATACAATATGGAATCTACCATAAATAATAATAATATTAAATATGTAATATAACTTGACATATTTAACATGCTACCAACTCCGTCGGTGATCTTCGGACGCCAAGGTTGTGTCGGAAATCAGTGAAGAGAAGCGACGGTAATCCTTTTGTGAAGATGTCTGCGAACTGGGAAGAGGATGGTACATGAAGAACTCGAACCTGTCCTAGTGCAACTTTGTCTCTAACAAAATGAATATCGACTTCAACATGCTTGGTACGTTGATGCTGTACCGGATTTGAGGACAAATAGACAGCACTAATATTGTCGCAGAACACAATGGTGGCTCGTCGTAGTGGCTGATGAAGTTCAAGAAGAAGATTTCGAATCCTACTAGTTTCAGCAACGGCATTAGCTACAGCTCTGTATTCTGCCTCAGCATTAGATCTAAAGGTGGTGGCTTGCCGCTTAGAAGACCATGAGACCAAGT